AGCTATAGAAAGGTTAGATTTTCATATTTGAGACCACTGTTTCTTTTTTCACTATTGGGTCAACAGTCACTTTCTGGTGGTTAATGCAGTGACTGTGTGAAATCGTGGTTTCTGCTGGTAGCATTTTCTGTCAGTCTGCAAGTCAAACAACACCAGACTTATTCAAACTTATATTCATAGAGACTGGAAGGATGAAAAAACAAACAAACGTGCACTTCAGCTACTATTGATACAAGTTTTAGAAAATTTAGTAGGAAAACATGACGACTGAGTTCAGATTGTGCAAAGAACAACCGGCATACTCGATGAGCATCAGCTGCAGTGAAGTGTAGCGATCTGTCAGATGACTCAGAGACTCTGTCTTATCAAAAACAAGACAGTCGAGGCAGGTATGGACAGAGGCCTGGAGGGTAAAAGATGACCAAAAAAAAGTAGTGACTAAAACAAAAACAAATGGCGTCTAGAGATGCTGATTGATTCACTACTGTTGGTTATATTACATTGTCAGTTATTATTGCAATATTTGTCACATTTCTCTTTGTTGCTCTACAAAGGCTGAATGAGTGTGGGATAGGGATGTGTAATAAATCAGTATATAGCGATAGACGTGATCAACATCAATAGATAATATGTCTGATAGACTGTTCAATAATTTCACTGAACTCTGATCCAGAATCCCACAGCATTCTGGGAGATATAGGCAGAGGAAAGACTTAAGCTGTTCAGTCTGTTGGTGACATCAACTCACTCACTCACTCTTTGGTCACTTAGCAACTCACTCACTCTTTGGTTACCTGGCAACAACCTGTTGAGTAACTTGCGCAGTAGCAGTTGAACTTTTCACCCCTGTTCCTCATAACTGCTTCACAACAAAAAAACAGCATAAAGTGAAAACTGTGGATAAAACAGAAAAGGTCTTACCAGCACGTTACCAGTTTTTTAGATATTTAAAACAAAAATAAATTAATAATAATCTATTATTTATACAAATCCCTTATATCTTGATTTCAGTTCAGACATATTTAACAGTGACTCTCATGAACATAGGTTGTCCAATGTAGCCGTTAACCAGCAGGCACAATGTGAAGCTAAATCATTGCTTTAATGGGTATTATTCACTCTTCATCAAATACCACTCAGAAAAACAGCACAAGAACTGACAGTTTATTCAGTACTAATACAAAGACGAACTTCACTGGTCAGGAAGGCCAACAGTAACATGAAAGAAGTGACTTCTACAGGTCCCTATGTGTGGACTAATGAGAGATGTGTGACAGTGCCCCTTTCTTCCAAAATAATAAATAAATAAAAATTAGATGTCTGACTAAAATCTCCCAAAACCTCAACTTTTGGGATGTAATGCTACATGGCATGTTTGACCCAAAGGCATCAGTAAGATCACCAGAAGTGCATGATATCCACAGTGAAACAAGGTGGTGGCCGTATTGTGATGTAGATTTAGCAAAGGGATTTTATAGCTCAAAGTGAATCCATGCGTTCATCCAAACTTAGAAAAATTACTTTTTGGAATGGCCTAATCAAAGTCGAGAGGAAAAGCTATGCTAAAAGAATCCCACCAGAGAGGACTGGATGTCAAAACTGAATCAAAATGTGTTTCAAACTAGTATCTTTTAAAAATGTTTTATTTTCCCTTTTTAACAGTTATTTGTTTTTGCTGTTGAATTGAACAGGGTAGTTCTCACTCAAAGTTTTGAGATTATTCACAGTCTCCTTTTGTCCACTTTACCTCTTAGTATCTGTGACCAAAAAATATATTTTTAAACTCTGCATGTTACAAGCCTACTGTGCTGTAATAACATTGTACTAACTAGCCCATAATGTTTGCGCCTCATTTGGCTTTAAAGCGTCTTGGGGCCTCTTCTGTGCATCCGTTTCCTGTTGGCCTGGTGATACGGTGGCCTGGGAGCGTTGTTGTCTCATCACTCTGGGACCTTAAACCAGAAGCTTTTCATTCCTCTCATGCTCCGCGCTGTCTCTCTGCTTTTCCTTTGTCTGTACGAACTCTGGTTTGTGGAATCAGATTCTTCATAGTTGGTCTGATTGTAACTGTTGGTTGAACATCCTGTGTTTCCTGGTGATTCTTCTTGTGGTGCTTAAGTTAAATGTATGCTTTATGTACGCAGAGCTGACAGGCTTGGTGTTTGTTTGAACTTTGTGTACATTTTCTGGGTGCAGCTGGTTCCAACTGAGGGAAGGGTTTTACAGTAGAGTAATAGATAATATACTATATAGAAATACTGGATTTTACCTTTGGAGGAAGTAATTCAGTGTTTTATTGCTATTGATATGGAAAAAGTGAAGAATCTGGGACTGTTGTGATTTAGTCCAGTCTTGACTGACGTGGTTGAGTCCCAGCTGGAGGGCTTTGTGTCCACGTCTGCACTTCTGTTCAGTCTGATCCCAAAAGATAACACTTTTGGTTTTGGTCAGCAGGCTCAGTTTGGAGCATTCAGTCACAAACCCATCTGTGTGTGTGTGTGTGTGTGTGTGTCCACAACATACACTACACAGTCGAGCTCGATGTGATTCAGCGTAGGAGGTTAACCCTAAATTATCACCTGAGTCATTTGTTGTTCTTTTCAGTTGTACAGTTTCACTGTCGCACTTTGAGTTTGGAGCAGAAGCAAGATGTAAATGGTGGCTTACCTGCTCATGGCTGATTATGGCTCCTTTAAAAAGTTTCCATACCCCTTGAGCTTTACATGTTATGTTACAACAACATGCTTCAGTGCGTTTTGTTTGGATTTTATGTGACAGACCAACACACCGGGACTGAAATTGTTTCACGATATTCTCTCCAAAAAAGTTGAAGCTCGGTAGCGTCTATGAACATCAGATATCAAATCTTGCCTCATATCGTCAGTTAAGTTTCGGTCTGGATTTTGAACAATGTTGTAACTTTTAACTTTTTTGTGTTAAATGTTAAAAGTTACAAAAATTCTAAAGTGTACAAGTACTCACCATAGTTTTGAAATGGTAGCCAATGGGCAGGTGCAGGGACGGCGTAATTGTTGCATACCGCCTTGTGCCCACTTCAGTGTGTTAACTATAAACCTAGCTTAATCTGTCTTTAATGTTATTGGTGTGTAAAACAAATCCTATTTAGGACTTAACAACATTTAGCCTGATGGGGGGCCATATAGTCTGGTGGCCCGCTAGGCTTATAACACTCTGGGGGAAACCCTGCAACAGTTCTCTAGGGCCCTTCCAAAGTTACTACTGGCATCCTTAGTAATTCCCCCATCAACTGTTTCCTTTCCTGAGCTGTTGGTTAAAGTGGACAGCCATCTCTTGAGATCGCTTGTGTGTTTTCAGATATAATTATGTGCTTTCAGCATCTTTATGCCTCACCTGTCTGCTGTGTTCCTCCATCTTCATGATGCCGTTTGTTCTCTAATAAACTTTTAAGACCTTCAAAATGGCTGGATTTATTCTAATATATATGGATTTACTAATACAGTGACTTTGGAAAGCAGCTTGGTTTTATTTTGGGGTAGCAGAGTAAAGGAGACTGAATACCATGTGCAGAATAAGTGCAGCAAGTCCCAGTTACCTTAGATTTATACTTTGAGCCATCCAGACGGAGGATATGAATTAAGATGAACAAAAAAGGAAGTTTTATGTACTGCGTTTTTAAACAAATATGCTGATGGAAGCATCGTGACATCCTTCATATAGATCATTTCCTCTGTAAATAAAGACTTATGTAACTTCTCCTTTTTGAAAAGTTCCCCTCATGAAGCTTCAGTGTGATTGCACTGGTTTCCTTCCAGGCATGATAGTAGAGCCAGCAGCCTCTCTCATCCCTCCTCCTCCTTCTGCAGGAATCTTAGTATCTCTGTAATGTTCAGCCAACCAGCTAAATACCACAGGAAAACATAAAGACTGTAAAACAAGCTCTTAGTTTACAGTGAGCAACAAACAAGGGCTCCTCCTCATTCCTGCAGTCTTTTCCTGGGTTTTGTTTGTGTTGATGGCTGCAGTTAATTCAATTATGGAGAATTCAATAGCTTCCAGCTGACAAATTTTCCACTTAACAAATGACTGGAAAAGTATTGTAAACTTAATGTCTGTGAAGAAATTATCAGGGATTTATTAACAAAAGAGTTTAATTATTGAAACAAATCTGCTGTTAAGATTTTGCAGCATAACAATTTCTTTTGGTATTTTCTTGTGTAAAAGTAGTGCTATAAATTTTGTGCTTCTGCTCAAATTATTTTTCTGTGCTCCTTTTTTTTCTTTATTCACCCTAAAACCTGCAGATCCCTTCTCTCCCACACTGCTCATCCTTCATTGTGAACCTCTGTGAGGTCATTTAGTGATCTGGTGTGTATTGGAAGCCGGTCTCCACCCCCCAGCTGAATGCTTCGGTTGCATTCAGCTGAGCTCTCGTCTTTATTCTGCTCGTGTTGAGTGACATCAGCCTTCAAGTATGCAGCCCGTCGTGGCTGAGCCAGGCGGGATTGGGTGGCTGTATTCATCTCAAGGTGCAGTCTGCTCTCTCTCGACCGCTTCAGTTCAGATAGACGATCAAACACTTCCAGCAGTTTTGCCTGCCAGGTTTAGTTTGTTCTATATTTGAGATCTTTGTCTGTTATGTTCTGGGATGCCCCTATAGACAACAGTATATTGGTTGTGGACTCTCATTTGTTAAAAATAGCATGGGTAACTTAATAGGAACGTTAATGGATCCCATAAGTATGAAACTCTTCATTTTTGAGGATTTTTAACCATTCTCTGTTCACAAGTCTCTTGTCCCTTGATGTGGGAGATTATTCGCGCTCATCCCTGCTGCAGGCGCTGATTAACTAAATCTCGACACATATAACTGATGGTTTTTACATCTGCACACTGAGCAGAAAATCTTTGATGTTGTATAGAAAAGTGAACGTGTCTTTTTACTTTCAGTTAATATATTTGCCATATGTTTTCCTCCTGACATGCACCAGACGTCTAATGTTTTGTCTCGTGTCTTTCAGAATGAGGAGAAACGTAACCTCAGCCTGGGTGGCCATGTTGGATTCGACAGCCTCCCTGACCAACTGGTCAGTAAATCGGTCACACAGGGTTTTTGCTTCAACATCCTCTGCGTAGGTGAGTAACAAAATGTGTTTGTGTGATGATAAAGTGTGAAATATTGGATGTGCTGCAGACATGGTAACCAGTGGAGATCTGGTGGTGGAAAGAACCTGCTGTTTGAAAAACAGTCCTTAGACACAATCATGTCCAAGAGCTTTCTCATGTTTACTTTATTTAACAGGAAGTAAAGTTAAATGTATGAAAATTACAGAGAAGGAAATGAAACGGGGCGTTTAGCTAAAACTAAAACAAAATTTGAAAAAGAACCTACTGGATATAATTTATAGAATAATCAATTCTTGGTAGTGAATGCACTGATCAGAATTTATTGGTTGATTTCCAATCTAAGCTTTTTGTGTTGTGTTGAAATAAAACTATTTTAAATCAAACGTGGAGATGAATTTAATGACTTGGTTTTGATTTATCTTTACCATTTTGATTTAGCAATAGCATAGATGGCATTGCACAATAGTCTGTGTGTATCTCCTACTGAATTGTATCTTCACCTTAACTAATAAAAGGCTGCCCACATTTCCATGACGACAGGATGAAACGCAGTTCATTTCCCAGCATGGTTGATGTACAGTCATGTGGTTCTTGGATGTTCATTTTCACACGCAGCCTCCACGGTCCTTTAGATGGGACTGCTTTCTTGCAAAGCGAAAGGAACTGCAGACATGTGTTGACATGTTGCAGAAAAATAGCTTTCTTCTAAAAGGTTTCGATCAACTGTGCTCTCTTTCTTCATCTTTATTTCTAAAAATCTCATTTATATTGAAAATAACTCAGTAATGGTATCGACACTGAAGGGTGTTATTGTTACCATGGTCTGGTGAGACTTGCATATGGTGAGCTCGTATATCTAGCTTTTGTTTGACTATGAAAACTATCAGCTGTTGATTTTATTTCGCCTCCACTAATTTTGTAATTTCTCACTATCATTTGTTCATGCATTCCGAAGATCTCAGATTTTTTGATAGCACTTTTATTGTTTTTGTTTTATTGACTTACTTTCAGGCTGCAAGAAGCTCTGGTTCTTTGAAAGTAAAGTGCCAAGAATTCACAGATTTTTGACTAGACTTTTGCACAGTGGTCTCTGCATCATCATGTTGACAAAGATACCCAAGCTATCACTGAATAATTTAGTCACCTAACTTTATTTAACCTTTTTTTCTTTCGCAGGAGAAACTGGCATTGGCAAATCAACATTAATGAACACACTGTTTAACACCATGTTTGAAAATGAGGAGGCGAGCCACTACCAGAATGGCGTGTATCTGCGGCCGCGAACCTACGACCTCCAGGAGAGCAACGTCCACCTCAAACTAACGATTGTTGATACTGTTGGGTTTGGTGACCAGATCAACAAGGAGGACAGGTAAATTTGATAAAATAGATCGCAGCACTGAAAGATCTTAGTAAATATCAAGTTTTCTGTAAATTACAATTGTTGTAGTTGTTTTTTTTGTTTTGTTTTTTTTCTTTCAAATCCTTGCCTCATCTTTAAATTTCCACTTATAAGATGTTGCTATGCAAATGTTGATGTGGACACCAATGAGAGAAACTGAGTATATCACTCTGGAATTCCACTCATATTTCTTGTGTCTTGTGGGACTAGAAGGGGAGGAGGTGGGAAAAAATAAAGGGGAAGTAGTTTATTTTTTTTTTAAACATTTAGCTGTGGAATGAAGCGTACTCGCTGCGGCTCAGCCAGCAAGCTGCACTCTCACGCTCTTTGATAGCAGCATTCTCTGTAGGCCTTATGAACCAACACACTGAAGGACAGACCCTGCAGCGAGCTGGAAATGAACACAGGGAGCTTCAAAAGGTCAGAGCGTGTGCATACCACTGAGAAGATTGAAGAGAGATGTGAAGGTAGAGGACAGATGACTGTAAACATGGTACTTACTGAGGAAATGGAAAAGATTGTTAACCTCTGTCTCACTATGAGCAATAAAATGTTAGTGATGTGGGACATCCTGTAGTTGAGTAGGAGACAAAATGGCTTAATCGTCACTACTGCATGACACAATTAACATTCATCTGCTTTATTATAAGCTTTTCTTGTTAAAATATTTTGCAACATAAGATTAAAATGATTATTTGAGATCAAACTAAGGAACCGTGTTTAAAGGCTGACTTTCATACAGCAGCAGCTTTGCACTTTGGACTCGTTTCTAAGTCTAAATGCTTTGTCTAAAATAAATGTGTAAAAAAAAAAAAATGTGTCGTACATCATAGGTAGAATTTCAAATGTGGTCAAGGCTGGTAGAAATGAGACAGAAATGACTCATGGAAATAAAATAACAGAAGAGCTAATGAGTTGTCAGATGATTTTGTGAAGTTATTGCGACCATTAACAATATGTACTTTTTTAAAATTCATTTTTGATGGAAAGCGCTGTTAGTCTTGGGCTTCTAAGTTTAGCTGAATTGAGTTATTGACTGTCCTGAACTCTGTGTTCCCTTTATTTTTTCACCACAGTGCGTCAGTGTGTTATTTGAGTCTCTTTCCTGGATGGACAGAGCTTTGGCAGCTATTAACTTTTTAAAGTCTTTTTTTTCTTTTCTTAGAAAGTACTCCTGGCTTAATTCTTATTTGTATCGCTGTGTCTCTTTAATGAAGAAAGCCACTGGTTAAGCTGTTGCTGCCACCAGCTCTCTGTTCAATTGGTTTTTCCCTACTCATAGAAAATACCCCCAGCCCAGAGCTTATATTTAGCTTTGCCTCTTTTCAGGTCATTTGACAAACCTATGGCTGCCATTAGTTTTTCTCTGTACACCTACCTGCCTGCAGGTTCTTTGTCCTTAACTGTTTCTCTTTACTGACTGAAGCTATCAATTTGTCTTGCTGAGATTTGCTGTTCCTAACTTTGTGCAGCCTTTTTAAAAATTCTTATTTAAAGACTATTTGTACTTTTGTTTTTCTTTCCTATAGAATTTATTAATTAACTTTTCTTCAAGAAGCCGTTAACAAAGCTGTTGCTCCCCTCAAGTCTAGCTACTCTGTGTTTCTTCTCGGTGGAAAAGACTCCTTGCTCGGGGCTTCTGTGTTTTTTCATGACAGACGCCACTTTAACTGTTTTAACTGTTCAGATTATTTGAATTAAATTTGGACCAAACTGTTTGACTTGCAGGTATTTAAGGAGATTTAACTTGACATTTGTTTCAAATTGTTGTTGCATATAAAAGTACTAGACTAAGTACATTTTACATATTTACAGGTTGTAGATTTCTACTGAATTCTCGGTGACAAGTGTTAGAGCCAGACTTGGTTTTGGAAAACACAGCATTTAGTGAGATTTGTATACGGAACAAAATGTCTTGATCCGGACATCCCAAACAAAGACGGCAACAGAACATAAACAGAGAAAACCCTGGGGCTGAAAAACATCATCTGGTTTAAACAGAAATGACTTTTAATTGCGAGATATATGCGTGATGAAAAACTGCACATATTAGAAGGTGCTGTATTTAAATCAAACTGTTCAAACGCATGCTTACTGTAAATTGGATTGCAGATAAATTCTGCAGCTGCACTGATTTACCATTTTTGGGGAGAATTTTTTATTATTTTTGTCCATGTAATCAAGCAGCTGTGAGCAAGTTGAAGTGTATTTCAGCCAATCTGTTAGTTTTTCCAGTGCCATATTTTACATTTCTTAAAATTTATTTTGTTGATTAAAGAAACTTCTTCTATGGTGTTAAGAAACATTATGCTGTTGCTGTCTGTTTGTAATGGTGTTTGACTTTTAGAAAAACTCTGGGTTTTATCCACATCTTTAAATTTCTCATGAGAAAAACATGACTGAAGTGAGGTTTTCATGTTTATATCCCACAGAGAACAGGCTGATTTGTAGCGTTTCAGTCAGATGTCGGTAAGATCATTTTGATCGGAACTAAGCTGTACAAAGCTGAGATCTTGGCATTGAATCAGAACACACAGTAACTGAAAACATAATTCTCCTGGTTTGTTTATTCAGCGACAAGTTCATATTTCCTTACATATTCATTATCAACACATGAATGGGAAGGAAAATATTTAGCTTTAACAAAAAGGCATAAATCCGGTTGTCTTTGGCTCTGTCCACAGTTACAAGCCAATCGTGGACTACATCGACACCCAGTTTGAAAACTATCTGCAGGAGGAGCTGAAAATCAAACGCTCGCTGTTTAACTACCATGACACCAGGATCCACATCTGCCTTTACTTCATCGCCCCAACAGGACACTCCCTCAAGTCCCTGGACCTGGTCACAATGAAGAAACTGGACAGCAAGGTATACAAAAGTGACATGCACACACTTTTGCCCTATGGCCTAGAAACTAACTCCTGCTTACCTGAAATCCAAGCCTCTCCTTCACTTTGAATGGAGGGGATTTGAATGAACTGCTGGGATTCTTCATCTGTCACTGTCAGGGTGTGGATTCTTTGTCCTGAAAGGAAAAAATCTTAAATTTCCACTTGGTGGTAGGGTTTCAGGAAAAGCTATTTGGAGGTAACGTGAGTTGCTTTTGTTCTTTTTTTGTTTTAAAAATTGACTTTAAAAAAGTGTTTTAGTTTGAGAGCGTGCTGTCTCCAAAAGGCACAATGCAGATTCACGAACCTACCAATGTTAGAATTAAATAAAGGATTAGCATCTCTGAAAATATGCAAATATAATAAATTCCTCCAAGTTTAGCTCACAATTTTTTTTTTTTTATTTAATGTACTGTCTCTCATGGTAATTTCTACAAAGTTATTAAAAGATGAAAATTGCTGCCTAAGATGTGAGAAGGAGTTTTGATTTGCTAATATAAGTTTACATGAACCATAAGAAGGTTTTTTAATTCAACCAGGTGGGTTATTATAACAGGTGTGTGGCAAAGAGTAGTATGGGTTACTCAGCTCTGCAGTTAAGAAAGATTTCACTATGAATTTAAAATAAAAATGACAACATTGCAAAGCTTTTGAACTGTTGAACATCTTATGTTAGCTACTAGCACAGTTAGCTAATCGCAGGGCAAGAATCAGTAGATCCTAACCTTAACTGATATTTCCAAAAGACCTCCAATATCTGCTAATCCTGCATGTTGACACAGAAATGAAATTCTGTAAAGGATAAAACGGCAACTTTACTGGAAAACGTCGACTTTTTTGGGGGCAAAATGAATGTATGTAGCTGAAAATAGACACCAACATCGGTAGCCTACAGGGCACTTGTTAAGCTTAAGGTTCTGTATTGATATTAGCTAGTCATCTTTTAGCTAACATTGCCTGCATCCAACAGCTTTACTCAACTCAGTCGGTTAGTTTGGAGGGAAAAACTGTGAAAAGTTCTTTGCGTTTTGCTGGTTTGCTGCCGATTCTAACACAAACCTACGTAGCTCCGCACAGCAACAGCAGGTCTCCTTCACAGGTGGAAACCCAGAGCGAGCGTCGTAGCGCTCATGTTGCGTTTAAAGGTGGCTTGGAAAAACAGGTTACAACACGTTAACAACAGATTAAACAGTTTTAACTGCTGATAAAAGTGACAGACGACACAAATATGGGAAGTGTGGAAGCCTCTACTGTATCAAATTGACAGGAATAACAGAGTTGGCCATTCTAAGGTAAAAACCCAGCGCATACAGTGTTCATGTTTTGTTTGTTTTTTTCATCCAGACGGCTTCCCGCGCCCCCCCTGCAATGACATGGCGCCCCCCTAGGGGGCGCGCCCCACAGTTTGGGAACCTCTGCCCTAATAGCAACATGTTGGATGCTGTACACCATAT